TATACTAAGAAGGCTATAGCATTGTAACAATACCAGTGTTAATTTTCAATTAAAATTTACTATGTGGATGCTACACAATTTATAGATCTTTCTGTATAACAAATAAAAAAAAATATGAGAACTATTTGCAACTATGCACACTATTTGTAAAATGCTAATTTTTTTGTATAGTATTTGTATATCTATTCAAAAAAAGTGTATGCAAAATTTTGTTTTTGTATGCTACTCATAGTTTACATAGTAAAAAATTATCACTAGATAATATTTTAAATTTGTTCATAACCTGGCAATTGTTTTTTTCTTTATAATCACAAATAATTTTATCAGCTTGAACTTTTTTATCTGTAACAATTATAGTTGGTAATGCTAAGTATACATTATATTCTGGAGGTTATAATAATTTTTTCTTAAATATTTTTTTTGCATTTTCTATTTAATAAATAATCATAGACTTCTAATTTGTACCTAAAAATAACTCTATTTGAACAGATTTTCTAAAAACTACTTCTAATAGAACAGGATTTTTAAAGTAATTCAAAAGACTTTGATATACTTTTTTAACAAGGTTTTCTAGAAGTTTATTAGTAATATATTTATAGTCAATATAGAATATTTTATTAGATATAGTTTTGTGCAAAAAAAGTTTATATGCAAAATTCATAATACTTTATTAATTTTCACAAGCCAGATATTAGAATACAATATATATAATCTCTAGCGTTGTTTATTGATACTAGAGGTCTGATTCGATAAATAGTATATTTGAATATTCACTAAATATTTAAATATTCGAATAAGATTTTTTTCACTAAATTAAATATTTAAATATTTAATTTATTTACCAAATAATTTATTAAATATTCATTGAATATATATATAGTATATATATATAATTAAAAATTATCCAATTAATTAACTGTAAATTTATTGATTAGTAGATATAAAATTTTTTAAATTAAAATATAAACTTATAATATTTTCTAATATATTTGTTTTTTAATAATTAGTATTAATTTAAATACTAATAAGTTGTATTTTTATATTTATTTAAATAATTA